TGATTAAGTAAAAATTACAATACGTGAACGAAAATGATTCTGATTCAGAGATTCTTGCCTTCCCGTTCCTCATGTTGAGACATCTCTTTAAACACCCAATCCAGGCGTCCTTAGCTTATTTCGTAATCATAATTAACTTTGTTTATTTGCTTGTAGTTAAGCACAAAGCTGCACAATGGGTTATCTGTGCCTTGTCCACCACAGGTATCAAAACCCGATTTTAGCGCTATAAGTCCGCAAACATACCGTTGAGCCATTGGGGTACATCATGCTTAAGATATACCGGATCGTAATAGAGTAGTTATAAATATACATGATACCCTTATCTAAATCCTCTTTCCACTGCTTACATAAGCTATAACCGGCTGAACTATCCTTGTACCAAAGTTCTGGAATGTCTTGAATTCAACATGCAGAAACATAATCTAAATACCGTTTTTTGCAATGTTTGATATTTCTTATAATTGCAGGAAATATTTTGTTATAAATTGGAATGATCAAACGTGAATAATAATGCTATAGACGTCGGATTTACTCTAACTATAAATGTTTAAAACCCATAAAATTTTTGTTATTTTCGATCGGTTTGAGATTTACTTGGTTTATTTTTGGAATTTGGTTGATCAAAATTCAAATGTTTACATCTATGTATAATTCATAATGGCATAATTCGTAATAGTAAGTCATTATGATGTTTACATTTCAAATACTTTTCAAAAATAAAAATGTGATAACTATAAACAACACTATAATTTTGATGCTGCAATGTACATAATACATGATTTGTTGACATAGCTGGTATAAACCTAGTTAAACATGACTTGCTTCCACCTCAGAGATAATCTTTCATTGTTCTGAGATACAGACTTGATTTGGATTCAAATTGAATTTCATTAATCCTAAGCTAAGTATGATTATGTGATAAGTTACTGCAATATTTAAGTGAAGTGTAATTGTAAGTCTGAAAATTACCTAGATCAAATCCTTACATTGCTAATACCACTACATTCAGGTATAAATCCTGTTTATGTACAATATATTTCAACCTGAGTGGCTCAGCGGTAAGTCTGAAAACATATATCGATGAAAACCGAGTTTCGATAGTCCAGTGTGTAGTTTTGCGCATAACAACAGAACAAACAAACCTGAACATTTTTTCACCACCATACATACTTTACCCAAGTGGAAATTCTTGTTACGTTGTGAACACGTTCCATAACCCGATTTAAATCCATTTTATGACATCAACACACACACACACCATATTTCTGTGCAATTAGCTAAAGTATATAAACAAATTTGTGTTGTTTTTTTACCAGATATTATAAATAGTTTGGACTACACCTTTAACAGTATCCGTTAAGAAGAGTGTTTTCTGATCTAAACAATTATATTTCTACCTTGAAAATGCATTATACCCCGCTCTAAGCTTTATTTGAACTACCAGCGAACACTATATTTTGATTTAAATCCTCTTCACATTGATAATATACACACGATATCCTGGTATAAACTCTACATTCCTACCTAACTTTTTTATACTGTACATTGTCAGCACACGCTACATCCAAACCTCTTTTATACTGTACATTGTCAGCACACGCTACATCCAAACCTCTTTTTATACTGTACATTGTCAGCACACGCTACATCCAAACCTCTTTTTATACTGTACATTGTCAGCACACGCTACATCTTAACCTCTTTTTATACTGTACATTGTCAGCACACGCTACATCCAAACCTCTTTTTATACTGTACATTGTCAGCACACGCTACATCCAAACCTCTTTTTATACTGTACGTTGTCAGCACACTCTAGATCCCAACCCAACTTTTTGTACTGTACGCCGTCAACACGATATATATCTACCTAAATCCTTTTTACACAATCATCACATTCTATATCCAGACTTGCACGTTTTTTTACACCGTAAGCACACACTATATCCTGACATAAACTGTCTTCGCCTTGTTCATACAAACTGCCCTGGCCTAAAACCTTTCCTTATTGTCTACTGACTTAAAATCCTCTTCTCATTGGTTATATAACATGTACCTCAACGTAAACCCCTTTTTCAACATAAGTACACACTATACCCTTATCTAAGTCCTATTTCCATTGCCTATATAAGATATACACGGTTGAACACTCTTTGTACCATAATTTTAGGAATTTCTTGAGCTCAACACGTATTTATATAAAATTTTGAATCATAATCTAAATACTTACTGTTTTGTAATCCGTTTAGTGTCTCTTATAATTTCAGTACACGTGGAAACCAATTTAATTTTTGAAACTTTCTTGTTTCATATTACCCAATGATAATAGATAGTTTAGTTTCAGTGTGGTAGCAACTTATCATTTAACTACAAATTATGGTGTATCAGTACGGTTAAATCTGATTACATATATCTTTCTCTTCGAATTCCATTTAATTAGTTCATTGCAAATTTCTAACTACAGGCGTTTAAAAGTAGAATCTTAGATCTATTTATCACAAATCACTGTAGAGGAATTATTTTACCCATACCAGAATTTATTAGCGGAATTCGTCATATAACAGCTTAAAGTGTGTATACGATGGTGTTTGTAATTTTCTATGCAATTTATTAAATGCAGTGGTTTATAATGTGTGACTTTATTATTTTTGTTAGACCTAAAAAACTCAGTGCTTCAGTTCAGTTGTTTTACACCACTGCATTGTTTCAAGTTTTCTTACTTTTTATAGGCCTAAAAATCCTCAATGCTTGAATTTAGATGCTTTAAACATAGACGTGATATACATATATTAAGTCTTTGGTTTTACAACGTTACATTGTATCAGTACTACCTTTTATTTCTGACACATTTGGAATTTTGTGGATATTTCAACTTCCTTCTTACCTCGAAGTTTCAGTTTATTATTGTCAATCATCTGTTTAATATCCATAAACGAAGTACTTGCCATGTTCTACAAAATTAAATTTTTATATGAGCTAACTATAATTTCATACGTGAAATTAAAAGGTTTTTTTTTATCGTTATAATTTTTGTTCTCTTCTATTTGGTTTCTAAAGAAGCTAAACGCTGACTATGTTATCAAAGTTAATTTACATTTGCTAATTATATCCTAGTTTGGTTCCCTTAATTAATTTGTTTTTAGCTAACAACTCATTCTATCTTGAATGCGATTTTTGTGTTTTCCATGTGAATGGACCAAGGAATAAGGATCTCTTATAATGAAGTTGTAGCCTTAATAGTTTGCCGAATTATTGCCCTGCCCACCACGGGTATCGAAACCCGGATTCTAGCGTTGTAAGTCCGCAGACATACCGCTGTGCTACTGGGGAGCATGTGGTCCAGAAAGTCGTTACGTTCTAGTTGCTATGTTTCTTTGTTCTCCATAGTAGGTAACATCTATTCTGCCCGAGAGGATATTGCAGTAACATGTAGCATTTGGGTTGAAATGGATAGCGATTATACTATTCTTTGCTGATCGACGTGTCGTTGTCTGAATGTTACAGTCCACCAATGCCTTGAGAGAACATTAGTCACGAGGTGATGTTGTTGACCGAACAAAGAAACCACGTTTTCCTGTAGACAGTGTATAAAGTGGTTTGAAATAGAAGCGAGTATGCATTTATTTTTTAAGATGGTATTTATAGAGTATAAAGCAATGATCTGAGGTAAGACATGCTCGTACTGTAATTTCATACACACTAGCGCCAAACGTATTTTCGCGTGAAATCAAAGAGGCGCACATAGTGTCTTACAACAATATAATATTTTATTATTGTATGTTTATATTTTGCCGGTATGACATTCCATCTTTGTTTTTCTTACCGATATACCAGCTGGCTCAGTTTAACTACAGCCTGTTGCATTCGGGTGTGTTTTCTTGGTGTATTTGTACTAGGAGATCATCGAATGAAAATCATACTTGAAAATCAACGCCTTTTAATTCTACATAGATCAATCCCAATAAAATTAAAGCTGAGGGGCTAAGCATAACCTAGTTCTTTAATAAACATAGGGTTCGTTTTTGCTACATACGTCCAGTCTCTTTTACTCAGTTATGAGATTCAGATTACTTTTCTTATTTCCTGAGAGAATCTGATGTTATTAGTAAGTCTACCTAATATTTATTGAAAATCAATTTTAACCTGAAAATTCCAAAACACCACCCGTAAGTCTATTTCCAGAGATTATAGGGCCTTTATACAATCGAACATTTAGGATCTTTTAACAACTAACTCTTTGACTGTATTAATGAGATATCTATTTCATTATATTTCAGACCAAAGTCAACAATCGAGTCAAAAACCGAGAAAAAAGTATATAATAATAAAAAAACTGATAAGGCTATGCTTTTTGGAAATGTTAATTAAAACCAAAGTTACACATTATCGGGACTAGTGTTTATTATTATGAAGAGCACCCCAGTGGCTAAACGAGTTTCGATACCCGTGATGAGCACAGCGCAGATAGACCATTACGTAGCTTTGTACTTAAAAACAAATAAATTATTACTGAGTGGTAGGAAGTAGTGAATTTCGTAGACATTCTATCGAGAGACTCTGATATGAGTGGCTCAGCAATAAGCTTGAGGATTTATAATGCTATAATTTGGGGTTCGATTTTTTCAGTGAGCACAGAACAGACAGCCCATTGTGTAGCTTTGCGCTTGAAATATATAAAGTAATATAAATCATTTCACCCAATCCCAGTATTGACCCTGATTACGGCCTGAAAGGATACTGGCCAGCCCTGTGGTATTTCGGAGCTGGGGATACTGGTTTGAATTCGTGCGATATCCCAAAGCATTTCCTACACTTCCCTCTGGCCAGTAGTTGAAAATTAGGGTCGGTGGCAAATTAGTCTTAGTAGCTTTGCCGTAAAGTACAAATATGGCGTCTAGACATGATTAACTTAAGGCTCCGGTTTAGGGCATATAAAGATATATATCAATACATTGCTATAGATGTGTATTCTCAGAAAATAATTACACAGAATACAAAAAACACAATGGGTTTGTTTTTTATATCCTGTTTACTCCATAAAATACAGAACAAAAGCGGGGATCCTAGAAAGTTCAGAAAGGTCTGAAAATATTATACGATAGCTTTATTTACCCCAAATCTTACGAATCATGAACAGAAAGAATAAGTTTGTGGAAGTTCATAAAAAAAGTTTAATATTTCAGGAACATTCAGAAATCCAGATGAAAACATTAACAAGTGAGTCTCAATTCACAAAAGATGTGAGAAAAAGGGGTTGTAACCTCGGTTTTAAACAAGTGAAGTTATGTACGCACACTTTTAAAAGAATAGTAAGTAAAAGTGAAAAACAATTTTTTCATACTCCAAAAAGCTGTGTGTGTGGATGAACATTAGAAAGACATGAGAGTGGAGCGCTTATATATAGAAGGTACTTCTTCTTAAGAAATAACTCTTTTTCTTTTTATCTTCATCTTAGCTCATTTTGCTTTGGTTTAAAGATCTTCCTGCGCATCCTTAGTCATCTGTAGTATTTTCTCGAAGTTAAATATTCAAACTCACATAAAATCTTCATGTTAAAAATATTTGTATTTCCACAATGAATCTCCAAAATAAAACTCGTTTATAAATACTATTTCTTCTTCTTTTCTTTGTTTTCTGCAAATCTAGTTTACGTCATAACTTAAGAACTCCACTGTTAGTCTATACTTTAATTTGTAATACGCCATCCTTATTTTTAAATAACGTTCGTTTAATAATTGGTATATGTAAACATGTGCTTGAAAGTAGAACGCGCTACAATGATCCCAACCAAGATCCTTTGTTAGAACATAAAACATTTAATTACCCCTACAAAATATTTTAAAACGTTATACATAGTTGACATATTACTGCAAAAATAAAACATTAGATATAGACTCAACGTGGCTGGTGATACATAACTGGATTGCCCTACATGGTTCAGTTTGAGCCTTTTTCGTTAACAAGAATAGTTTTTTTTCTTTTCTAAATATAAAGTTGACGACTATTTCTTTTGATCTGACGTCAAATATTACATGTAAAGAAACAACTTATATTAGCGATAACATTATAACTTTTGTTACTCAGGGGATATTATAGAGTAATGCAAGTTTGTTTGTTTTTTTTGGCAGTCGTTCTTTGTCCATTATAACACTGAACAAGATGATAAAAACTCTATAATCCGAGCGCTTTCGAAAGGTGGACCCTTCTTCTTCAGTGCCCCTGAAGAAGAAAGGTGCGCCTGGCTGAAGCGCTTGGATTATAGAGTTTTTATCATATTGTATCAAGATTTATTGAACCTTCGTGTTTTTCTGAAATCATGAATACTGAACAAGATTTATTAACATTTGACCCATCTGGGCTTTTGGTGCTCGTTAGATAAGAAATATTAGTCTTAACACACTTATTCTGCAGATCGAACCTAACGCTCTTATTTTTTTTTTTTTTTGGTGGAACTCAGGCCTAACGCACTTATTCTGTTTTCTGGTGCAAATCAAGCTTAACTCTCTTATTGTGTTTTCTTGTGAAAATCAGGCCTAACCCACTTAACCTTTTTTGTGCAAATCAGTTATGGACACATCTATATTAACTAGTATGGTCGCCATACTTGGGAATCTGTCGTGCCCAACTGGCTGCATTGCGAAGGAATTGGTGTTGCAATTTGTCGTACGTAGTAAGAAGGCGGGCTAAATGATGGTCCAGAGAACTGAGAATTTGTAATATCAAAGCCTTGTACTAGTCTAGGAACAAAATTCTGGGGTGTTTGAAGAGACACAGTGTTCTCAAAGTTGGAAGGGAAAAGATTAAATCTTTCTTGCTGCTGTTGAGAAACTGTGAGGGGATCGACAACTGATCTCAGATCATTTCCTAATAGTTGAAAGGGAGAAGGAGTAGAAGTCTGGGGTTGTGAAACGTTAGAGTGTAGTTGGGAACATATTAATGACGAAGAAACCACTGGGGAACTCGGGTATCTTCCACCAACTGCAGCACTATTACTATTATAATAATTAGGAGGAAATGAACTACCCCAGTTATGATTAACAAGCGGGTAAGGTGAATTACTGTTCACACAAAATTGAGTCATTGTGTTGTTTGGGGATGGAAGGGGAAGTTCTGTCATAGAAATGCTGACTCCGGGATATTTAGTCACCGACTCTTGCTCATTGGGAAACCGGGTATTCTGTACAGAGAATGACTGGGTGTGAGTGCTGGGTTCAGGAACTACGAAAGAGCTTGGATCCTTCCTTCCCGGACTTGTCGAGAGACGGAAAGATAGGGTTAAGTTGGTGTTGGAGTCTCGCTCTGGCAGAAGTGTAAAATGGTTACTTGGTGCACTAACTTCCGTGTTTTTCATGTTGTGGGAACAAAACGTTGGAGTTCTATCAACGGTCTGTGATGAGCCAGGTAAATTTGAAATCAAAGACGTTTCAGGAGCATTTTCGGTCCAAGCTGTGTTGATTAATAATGGAAAAAAAAAAGAAACATATCGTCAATCTAAATATTAAAATATAAAAATACAGAACTCGAATGAACAATAACTAGAGTATCAAAGAATATAATTAGATTTTTTGCACGAAATTTGTTATTTAAAAACGTATTAAAATTAAAATGTTGTTTTAATTATTGAATTTATTATGTGAGAAAGAATTACGGAAATTAAAATCAGCTATTGTGAATCATTTATTTATCGACTGAAAATGTACGATAAACTAATAAACAAACGAAATTTTCTTGGTTAAACTTTTAACCTAGCTTGCCGTACACCTTATTTAAAAAAAACAACAACAAAAAAAAACTACCTGCAATACTGTTGCCATGAGTACTGGGAAAACCGTTTCCTAATGAGCCACCTGGCCATGAAAATCCTGCGGTGCCAAGACCGGAAGTCGGAAGTGTAGATATTGAGCTTAGATACGTAGGGTAGGGAGAACTACGGTGATTTAGCTGAGACACCGGAGGTTGAAGATGTAGTGATATACTGGCATCTAAAAAAATATAATATGTATATACATTTAAACAAGATCTTCAGATACAAGTGTTCTCATGAAGATATCAGTAAGGGTCTGTTCTGAGACCCTTTATGTCTTAAATACATAGAATGTACGAGTTGATAAAACGACAAATGAAATTATAAGTACCGTACATATGCATATGTTATTTGAGGCATTTGCATATCAGTTATTTGCCAATTATCCTGTAGAGTCTCCAGTTTGGTTTGCCAATAATCTTGTACAGGTTTCATTTTCATTTGACAATGATCTTGTAGAGATTTCACACACTTTAGGCAAGTTGCAGAATAAATGCAATGATATATTAATATTTTTTGAAAGCAATGCCTAGTGATACTAACTAGTCTAGATAAAAAAGTATTGCGGACCAGTAGGGTAACATGAAAAATAAAGAAATAGACCGTCAGATAAGAGTGTTTTTATCGTTTTTTTTAAATGTCTAGGCCTAGACAAACTTGTTCTCTTGTTTGTAACTGTCACAATCGCCTACAGAATACAAGAGAAGATGTGACTAAGGAATTAGTAATAGTTAGATAAAATACTTTCACAGTCATGAAAACAGGAACACACATATATATATATAAAGGGTTGAGTACGTTATAATAAAACGATTTGGTATTCGCAAACAGCAAGTCATATGACAATCACAGTCAATATATTGCCTTGGTGGAACGGACTGTATATATATATATACTTGTTTTTGTTAAGCACGAAGCCACACAATGGATTAACTGTTATATGCCCACCAAGTATCGATTTTTAGCTACTGAGTGAGAGGGCGAGGGGCGGAATATATAAAAACTTCATTTTGACATTGTTTGGTGTTTCGTAATTGGTGCGATGCCACCGAAAACAGATCGCTTTTTGGAAGGTTATAGCAACCCTTTGCGACGCAAAATATTCATACACTGAGATCATAAAGATGTGTTCAGACTACGAGTTTGGAATTTCCAGGACGGGGATAGATACTCTTTGTACGTACTTCCACTGGAAAACAGAGAAATATGGATCAACTTAGGGTACCAAAAGCAGCCATACAATAGACCAACAACAAGCCGTACTCCAGCCGTGGTAAGAAACGTTTGAGAAAATTGAAGAATACAAAGGTCTGTGGTAAAAGCCGTCCATGTGACCCAGACAACAATACATATCATAACCGAAAAGAATTTCCGTCCCGAAAAGCGATAAAACTCAGGCACAAAGAGCTTCCACGACATATCTGTTCCACCTTCGTATAGCTCAAGCAGCTAGAGAATGAAACATATGTTCATGCTATTTAATACGAAGACATGCCAACCAAGTCACTGGTCGTAGTATCAATCGGGCTGTCGTCTTTATACACTAGACTGATTATGGAACCTGTAGGGAGGGGTGATATGCTTTGGACATGACAGCCTCGCGACGGAGCTTTTTGCAATATACGCTTCGCTACATGACGTTCACATAGAAATACAAAGTATGATCGGACCTGGTGATATGGACTGTAACGATATGGTGAGGCTCGAAAACTGTTTTAATATAACGTACCCAACCTCTGTGCATACATATTGTTTATGGAACCAAAGCTAAAGATCTACTTAGAAAGTTCTATCACATATTTATATGGTGTAAAAGTTTACGAAGCTTAAAAGTGGTACAGAAATGTTTTGGGGTAACAATTCCAATATTAGAAAAACATACACAAGCCTAACAACTTTAACAGAACGATACTGTCGTTTGTGATTAAGCACAAAGCTACATAATGGGCTATCTGTGCTCTGCCCACCACGGGTATCGAAACTCGGTTTCTAGCAGTATAAGTTCTAAAGGTAGCTAGTCAACATTACCCACCTAACTTAGCATTACCTTTCACTTATGTTCCTAGTTAATAGATTGTTTGACCTTATTGGAATAATTTATTTTTTTAGTTTTCATAATTTTCCACGTAAGTTAAGTATGCGTATTCAATATTTTTATTTAATGTTTTCATCATACGGAAATTTAAGTTTTACATAAGACAGTCTTGTTCTCTAAGAATGTAAAAAATAAAAATAAAATAAAAACTTGGTTGAGGTTCTAGATATGAACAATAAAAGTTTAACTAAAACCTTCACCGAGTCATTTTCCACCCACGCGACAGGGACCGAACTATGTTGATGGAAGTTGACATTGCTTGGAGTTCACAACTGGTCATGGTATATGGGTTTCATGACCACGACTCCGACACTTCAAAAACGAAAAATGTGTGTGTGAAAAAAAAGTTATTCAATTCACTCTTGAAATTAAATGTCTTTCATAACCAAAGGTCGCTATTTTTGAGCTATTCGTTTTGGCAGGATAGGAAGTATAATAAGTTAGAAAGTTAAAACCTCATGGTTTTACTCGGTTTGTAACTTAACAAACTTAATAATTTATCCAAAACTAAATGAGTAAAATATGCTTCGTTCTGTATAGCTTTGTACTTAATTCCAAACAAACAAACAAACCTTTCCTCCAGTCTAGTGTCTCTCAAACTGGATCCGCGAGCCATGTCCGAAATTTCATAAAAAATAATTAAAAAACAAACAAACATAATTTATAGAATAACAAAATATTTTTCGTAAAAATTAAATTTCATACGAATTAACAGAATTTTGGAATACAGCTTTTCATATGCACGGAATATTTTGTTTAAGATATCGATATGTTTCGGGGGTCCACGAAAACGTTTAACTTAAAAAGGTCCTCTTGTTACTAAAGTTTGAGAACCGTTGCTCTGGTATATCACTTCAGAGATGCCCTTCCACCCCAGTGGCACACAGCGGTATGTCTTCGGACTTATACCGCTAGAAATCGGGTTTCGATATCCGTGATGGGCAGAGCACGAACAGCCTATTATGTGGCTTCATGCTTAATTACAAACAAACGCTTCAGAGATAGGGACGGATAGCGCAGATAGACCTCGAGTAGCTTTGCACGAACACCCACAGCAACTTAAGGTTCGTCATTGTGGCTACATCAGGGCTAGTAGTACAAGAACTGTTATTATTAACTGGAGAGTAAAGGTAGTTTTTTCTCTAACTTTTTTGTCTAAATCCCTTCGGTATGCACTACAAATTCTGAAAAACAACAAAATATTTCCGAACAGATCTCAGAAACTTTTACATTACATTAAAAAGAGAAGTTTCATATATCTATTTTTAGATTAAATTTGTTTGTAGTTATGCACAAAGCTACACAATGGGCTATCTGTGCTCTGCCCACCCGGTTTCTAGCGTTGTAAGTCCGCTGTGCCACTGGGGGCCTTTAGATTAAGAAAAATAACTAGTGAAATAGTAGTTATATTATTGTTCGTCTTATCCTTGTTAAACATAAAGTATACACTGTTAGCTATTAACCTGAAGTAGGAATTGATGGCTTAAGCGTCTAGGGGCACGTGGAATCCCTGAAATGTGGGGAAGGTGTATGGGTCGGTGTTGATACCTTCCTCTGACAACTGGGCGGAATATTATTTTAATTATATATATATATATATATATAAGATAATATAACATTAAAAATGGCCTATACTCTACAACTAACTTTGCCCCCCAGTGGCACAACGGTACGTCTACGGGCTTACAACGCTAGAAACAGGGTTTCGATATCCGTGGTGGGCAGAGCATAGATAGTCCACTGTGTAGCTTTGTGCTTAACTACAAACAAACCAAATAACAATATTTTTTCTTTCATTCAACGTTTCGCCATTGCGGCTTCAACAGGTCTAGTTGTGTAAAAACTGTTTGATGTGAAAATATCTTCTTGCTCTCTTCACAGTATGAAAGTCAAGCTGCTTAAATATACTAACTAAAGCACATTTAGTTAGAACATAGTTTAACTACGTGAACCATATAGGTAATAAAAAACTGACCATTTTGTATGAGAAGCAATTAGCATTTTCAAACGTAGGAAAAAGGTATTGCAGTTTGTCTAACAGTGCTCATAAATGGACAAAAACTATTAGCCTTCATGTGCAGAATATCTTGTTATATAAACTAGTGTTTCATGCAAATTAATAGAAGTACTGATATATGGTCAACCCATTTAAGATCCACAAAACAAAAAATAAAAGAGTCAGCTATATATAGATGTTATACCAAAAAAAATACTATAAAAGGGTATATATTGTAAAGATTTAGTGTAACATTTTTTATTGCATCTGTAACAAGCACCTGTTGTTGTTGTTGCTTTAGCGCAAAGCTACACAATAAGTTATTTGCGTTTTGCCCATCGCGGGAAATCGAACACTTGGATTTTAGCGTTGTAAGTCTCTAAACTTATCGATGACCCACCGGAGGATGGAACAACTAGCAACATTAAAATAAAAGGGGGAGCATGGGTTCCACAACTATTTTGATGAGATCACATATTACAACAGAAATTATTAGTTGTTTTTTTCTCTTTTTTTTATATTTCTTCTAATCTTTCCAATTTTATTTTAAAAAATATCATTAAATACCTATCCTTTGTCTCTCACAAGTCACTGCCCAGTAAGCCTTTCATTCACTACGAGAAGTGGTCAGCAGTATTGTATATGAATGGCAGTAACGTGTCAAAGCATTTCCAATATAGAGCGCTACGCAACAATTCGTTCGTTCGTAGTTAAGTACAAAGCTACACAATGGGCTATCTGTGCTCTGCCCACCATTGGGGGCTAGGCAACAAATAGCTTAACGAATCCATTTTTATTACTCGAGGTAGGATAACACTGTGCTTAAAAATTCTGAATTTTTTGTAGCGTCAATAAAACTGAAACTTAAGCAGTACTCTTCTTTTCAGACTCAAAGTTATCAGAAAAAAGCTAGATACTTTAATCAAAATGAGTTGTATTCAAATCTGTGAAGACAAAAGCACTTTTGATAAATGTATTCAATTACGTTTTAAGCTGGAAAATAAAATTAGGAACTAACGAATGTCATTAAGGGTGAGAAAAAACAGCGTCATTTTTGTTTTTCATAATTAATATATTAGCACAATTT